GCTATGGGTCGAAACCGACTCAATGGCACTTAACAACAACAACAAAATCCTGAAACTATACCCTTTCCACTGGCATCTGTAAACACGGAACACCAAGGAACAGAAATGGAAGTGAATGGCTTCTGATGAACATAAGATTTCTGCTCTTCACGAGTCTTCTCTCAAGTTCAATAAGATGTCGTTGGGTTTGTACTGTGAGACGTTAGATTTTGGTGCTCATCCTCCCCATCTCGGGAACTTACTTGAGATCCCAAATGATGCAGGTCCCATCGGTGCTGGCTGTAACACATTCCTCATTGTTCTTGTTCACCCTGATGCAGGATACAGAGGACTTGTGTCCCTTCAGTGCCTCCTCCAGCTGCTGGGTCTGGCAGCTTATCCGCCACACCCTCACCTGAAAGCCACAAAATACATCCTCTCAACATATGTTGTCATTGTTGTTAGGTGCCATCGAGTCCGTACCAACCCATAAACTGGGCATTTTTGAAAAGGTCAAGATTCCAAGAGCTTTTTTAACCTCTGCTGTTTTTGACATTGAACTTTACGAACTGGGCTTCAAACTGCAAGGTCAGCAGTTCGAAACTACCAGCAGTTCCACGGGAGAAAGATGAGAGTTTCTGCTCCTGTAAAGATTTACAGCCTCGGAAACCCTGTACAGGGTCGCTATGAGTCGGAACCGACTCCACGGCACATAACCACCACCACCACCACCACCCTGTACCAGTCTCAGTTGTGTGGGGTGGGAATGCGAAGTTGAAGCACAGGAATATTTATGCACAGAATGTAAACAGCACCCATGGAGCTAATTATCCTGTACTCTACTGTCAGACCGAAAAATTGATCAGACACTGATGCTAAAACCAATAATGCCAAGGCTGCTGCTAAACCAAGTGAAATGATTTGTCTACTCACTGGCAAATGAGCATTGCTCTCTAGTTTCTGCTGCTGTCAGGACATTTCTTGGCTATCCAGTGTCATATAAACCCACTCCTCACTTATCTACATGGTTAGCTTCCAAAGACTTGGTCATTATATGAAAATTGGCTTTGTGTGAAAATGAAGGCTCTTTTTTTTTTCTGTTTTCAGACTGTGAAAATGAAGGCTCTTTTTCTTTTCTGCTTTCAGACTGTCCCTTTGTCTAATTCCGCACCGCCCCCCCCCCCCCTCTTCTTTTGTTGTGAAATGCCGTTGAGTCGGTTGAGACCCATAGCTACCCTCTTTAGGGTTTCCAAGGAGTGGCTGGTGAGCTTGCAGTTCAAACGGCTTTGCAGTCTGGTGCATTAACCCACAGTGCCTCACCAGGACTCCCATAGGACCATAGAAATAATTTTTCCCATAGGACCATAGAAATAATAACAGCTAAAATTTCCCAATGTTCTCATCCAGTTACGGATTATTTCTCTGCTGAGAAGGCAGTTTGGTAAAGACAAAGCTGTGTGACTGCAGTGCTCTCCAGTAACCTCTTCACCTTCCTCCCATGCTAGGTCAGAGCTGCCTCCAGGGCCCCACTCCCATTCCTGAAAGCTCCATCTGCCCTCCCAACCTGGTGAGTCACCCGGGAGAGCACTGGGAGCCTGGCCCACCAAAGTGGAAGCTTCAGGCCCAGCTCGGCTCACTTTGAGATGTCATGAAGCATGGGCCCATTTCTATCATAACATCCTCTCCCCTCCTCCGATGCTTCTTTCTTTCCTCCTTTTCCACCTAACAGCAATTTTGAGCAGCAAGGCCTCAGGCCACATAGGAGCTGGGAATCCAGAACAGGCCCTGGCTAGTTTGGTGCTGTTTGCCTGTCTGCCCAGAGGTCAGCAGTGGCCAGAGTTGCTGAGCACCTGGAGGGAGTTCCTGCTGCCTTGTTCAGACACAAAACAGCCTAATAGTAGCCTTGGTTTTGTTTTATGGCATTGTTATAATTTTACATTGTTGTAAATGTGAAATGTCATTTAATGAGACTAGTGAGGAGTTGTTAAGTGTCTTGGAGTAGGTTTGAGTCACAACGACCCTGTATAGGGTTTCCGAGGAGCGGCTGGTGAGTTTGAACCACTGACTTTGAGGTTCAAACCGACTTTGTGGTCTAGTGCATTATCCCACCAATAGAATTTCACACTCTTTTCTCAATTTTTTAATCATTTAAACCCAAGGTTCTCAACTTCATCAAACCCAATATCCATTTTTAATACCAAATATTTTCTAACACCTCTTTACTAATTCTGAAATGAAATTCACAGGTAATAAACATACCTACATGTATTTCAAAAACGTAAATGTTATATACTAATTTTAATAAAAAGAATAAATAAGGGGAAAGCTATTTTATACAACAATGGAGTCCTGGTGTGGCGCTGTGGGTTAATGCACCAGACTGCAAAGCTGCTTGAACTGAAAGGTCGGCAGTTCAAGCTCACCAGCTGCTCCTTGAAAACCCTATACGGGGCCGTTATGGGTCAGAACTGACTTAACGGCACTTAACAACAACAACAGCAGTCTTTTAATGGGTAGAAATTCTGGTACAGGCCTATTTTCCAAACCACCTCTGGGTAGGTTTG